AAAAAAAAAAAAAAAAAAAAAAAAATTGAAAAAGAAAAGAAGAAAAATGAACTAAAGCAAATTATTGGACTTACCACCGTAGTTTGGTCTTACTCTTTTATCGTAACTAACACTAAATGAATCCAGAATGGCAGATATGTTAACGTCACCTAACATGCTACCGCCAGCAGTTCTGCAAAAGTTTACAAGAAACGTAAAGAGTAGAAATTATTAAAATAATTTAAGTCAGATATGTAATTAACTCTCATGTATTTTAATAAAAAATTTCTATTGATTTTTAGTTGCAAAAAACCTTAATACTCTTTGCATGTCAGTCCTTAACACACATTTCAGCTAACATGTACAACTCTACAGCAGTAGGCGATGTTTTAAAACCAAACAAAAACAAAAAAAAAACATGAGATTTACGTAATCGTAACAAATAGATTCTCCTTGAAAGCGAATACAATCCATCATATCGTATCGAAAATGTTCAAATTACTTTAGGACGCGGTTCCAGGAAAACGATCTCTGCTTTCATCACAGCTTTGCTGCACTACACTGCCTCTTTGTATTTTACATAAATTGTAAAATTTGCAAACAAGTGACGGGAAATGGAGCAACATTAGTTTGCTTTTGCGATCCAATTTGCCGAGCACTTTATAGGCACTGACATGTTGCCAACGTTTCTTTTTCAAACCATCATAAATATTCTGCTTCCAAATATTAAACTCATTCTGAGATTGAGGACAGGATTGAAACAAGCACCCAGGACGCTGGATAATAGTTCACAACATCGCGTACGATAAAATGTAGATACTGGCTAATCGATTGTGTCCAACAGTGCCAAAGTTATTTAATATGATTGTAAAAGGAGAGAATCGCTTGCCTTAACAATTGACGCTCTTAAGCCCAAAGATGTGGGAAAAAGCTTTTTGGGGAATGAAAGCCGGCCTTGAAAATAATAAAAGTTAAAGTTTTTCGCATTCATAGTGAATTCATTTTAATCTAATGCGATTTCATTTTAAGTCTGACGTGGCACTAACTAAATATTTTAGCTTCAACAATAATGCTTTATATGTAGGAATGATATTGGGTTGTAATATATTTTGAGCCTTCAAAAATTGGTCAACTAAGCAATTTCTTAAAAGTCAGACATATAATGAGCAAAAGGACTGAAGGATGAAATGATTTTTTCAATGCAATGCTCGAGCAAAAATTATTAAGCGGATTAAAAAGCTCTTTTCAAAGTTTCGCATAAAAACCTACGGTATATAAATTACCATTAATTTCGATCGAAGCAGAAAGCACTTTGTTTAATCAGCAGTTTAACATATTTTTGGTAAAGCAAAAAGTAGCGAAACCGACAACAATATTGAATAACATACACGCTCGCATTCTAATGATTAAAGCGCTTTTCAAGTTGTGTGAATGTCGGAGGAATGTTTTAAGAGAAATATGTTTGTTTTTATAATAAATAAATCGGTTGATTCCGAAACGATTTTTGAATTGTTTTAAATCGTTACCTCTATCTGTCTGTCTGTCCATGTACTTTATGTTGTTCTTAAGCCCTATTATGAAAACGCCATTATAAGAAAAAAATAGCAGTTTGCAAAATATTTGAATAAAAGTGTGTCAATATGTTAACATGATTTTGGAAATTTAGAAGAGAATTTCTGAGCCCCGTCCTGTATTATCGCTCCAACGAAAAGTGAGTCTTTACATGGTAACAGGATAAAATTTGTAATATTTTTTAATGGACATTGGTTCATAACATTGGTTCATACATTTTGATATAAAAATTATGTGGACCAAGCCTGGACGATGTAGACCTACATTTCTGGATACTATCATATGTGAGAGCTCTCATAAAAAGTACGACCTATTAAGGCAGTAAAATCCAAGTTTTAATAGCTTATGACAAAAGCAGGTCAAAGCAGAATTAATAACGAAATTGATTTTGCTAAATTTGAATTATGCCATTTGACGTTTTCGGCTAATTGCCATGAAAAGCATGCCTTTATATGGAGACAAATACATTCGATTGTGACTGAACCTTTTCTACTCCACAATCTTAATGCTTGAAAAGGCTAAGAAAGAAAAAACAAAAAAGCTAGATAATCACATTCACAGAGAAGTCCTCCGTTTTTTAATATACTGGAAGCGTGCCCTTCGACCGATTTGATTCATTTTTAATGCTAGCCTGTACTCCCAACCTGAACTCTCTATAAAAACGTGTAATCTTTCGTATTTTCGCGTAAAAATAAATGAAGACTTGTCTTAAGCGAAATATGGTCTCCTTTTATTTCTTTCAATTTAAGGAGCTAAGTGAACGAAGTTTTATTAGACTTATCCACTTACTTGAATTGCGCTATATACACTTTTACTTTTAAATTGGAATAAGTTAAACCCAAATGTAATGTGTTTTGGGTAAAACGGTATAACACTATAATTAATTAATCATTTCTTTTTTACTCATAAATAGCTATTTATTCCAACCACATGCAGTAAATGTTATGTCATATTATTTAGTTGTAATATCTTGAAATTCATAGCATATATATCTGCATGATAATATAGCACATATATCCCTGTAAGACTTCGAATCAACTTAATTACATTCTTCTATGTAGACAATGCAGAGGCATAGAAATCCAAAATTTAGCAAATATATTCTTAGTTAATGCAAGCGCAAGGTAGATTTTGTGATACGTTGTGAGTCAGTGAGAGTGTTTATGAAAACGTTTGATATAACAAATTTTAAAGTCGTCCTATCTAATATGAAAATATTACGAGAAATTAAAATGCCGGCACAAGTGAAACTTGCATGTTTTTGCTTGAACTAAAGAATTTTGATCACTTGTCTAGAGACGGAGAATAAGTGAAGTAGAATTAAAAGAACTTAGTTGAAATGTTAACATATTTCTAGATGATTGTCAGAATTATCCGCCATGAACATGAAAGAAATTGTTTGTAAGTAAACTTGTCAGTTGCTATCGTTAATTAGAAACCGTTGTAATTTTACGTTGCATTTGCACGATGTGATAGGCACTTAGACTCCAAGCAAGGACGTTAAAAATGTTCTTATTTCCTTTTAGTTATGAGGTTAGCTACCAATATTGTACATTTCCAAAATTATTCGATATACATATATATTGAAAACTGAACTAATAAAAATAATATTCTTTATTATTAGGCTGCGGGTATATGAGGAGCGCGCTTGTTATCGACAAATTTTAACTTGTTCCCTTTAACACTTGTGTTATAAAATATACATTTTTTTCTTTCTTGTTTACCCAAAGCCAACAATATTTTCATTTCGCAACTCAAAAAACAACAACACTAGCAATAGTTGTAGTGTCTATGTAAACATGATAAAGTTTTGATGCCTCTGTTCAAACCTTCCATGTCACGTCTATGCACATGTGTTGGCAAACATTTTTAAGTGTGCTGCATGTACGTATACATTCATATGTAACTTACCGAGGGACGAAATACTTATTTTTCATTTTTTTTGCAACTTTCATTTCGTGTACACATAGTTGAAGAGACGAAGGGCAAAAAAAGCAAAAAATCTAGAAAACAACGAGAAATGGACACGTTTTTACAAACACGGTCAATAAATTCTCAAAAGCGTTCGCTTTTCCGCAAGTCGATTTATTTTTTCTGACACTTGTTTCTAGTAGTGTTCCGTTTGATGACATCATGTCAAAATATTGCTGTTGTTTTCTCGCTTTCTTTTTCATTACTAACCGCAATTGATTTGTATTACTTTGCAAACTTATTCAAAGTGAAACCGGCCATCTAATCAACCAGTTAATCAGCAGCTGAGAATGTTTCATTTGAAAAACTTTAGAAACGGCTTTCTTCTTTCTATTTATTAACAAGCTAAATCATTATAGCGGAACATGGCCCATCCATGAAATACACTATGCCACTATGCCACTATGCCACTTGACTGAATACAGTTGTCCATACATAGAACGATAATTGAAATATATGGTTTTATATGGGAAATGATGAAAAAAACACGCTGAGCCATTTCGGTGCGTTAAACTTCATTAATATATTATAGATTGAACACCGGAAAACAAGACAGACAAACGGACAGACAAGCGTAGAACCATTTTCATATACACTTTTCAGAATCGATTATGATCGATAATCAAAACTTCGGCCTATTTCAAGTCTTTCCACCTGTTTCATACGATGTGTATTCAAAAAAAAAAAAACGAAGGTACTTTTCAAATTTCGTGTATTCACGAGCAGTGTCTTGAAGATTATTTTTCGCGAAAAATGAAAAGTCACCCTATTTTTTAAACGCATCGCGTAGACATGCACCAACTTAACATATATACCCTTGTAGCACAAGTGTGCTGTGTAGGGTGTAAAAAATATTTGATTGCTAGAAAAACTGATAGAAAAATTTCCTCATGAAAAATGTCGACGGTTGTAAAATTTGTTTTGCATTTTTATGTTAACTATTATGATTTTTTTTTTCGTCTTTTTCTCATTTTTAAAGATGAAATCATTAAAGAAAGGAGAAGAGGAAGAAGTAAGATACGACTTGAAATGCATTTTTATGGCAAACTCTCCAAATATCCTGTTTATGATTAAATAATAATAATTTAATACATAACAAATTTGTAAAAACTTGATAAAAAAAAATTCATAATTTTTATCCCCTTCGACAGAGCATATGTCCAGGTATATTGTATTTCATAGATGTATATTGGAGGCAAGTAAAAAATTTTTCATTATTTTTCAATTATACATATATTAATGCACTTCATTTAAAAAAAATATATACGTGATGTTGAGAGAAAAGCTTTTGCCATTTTTTTGTATATATCCGTTACGCCCTCACTGCTGAGCTTCTGAGATTAGAAAAAAAAAAACAAAAAAACCGAACCCATTCATTTCCAAAACCTCCTCCTGAAGACAGCATGATATCATTGATAGAGGTTTGCAGAATGACGCAACAACTGATAATCGGATAATTTGTTAGGGATTCTGCTGATTTTCAGAGCTGTTTAAAGGAAATCGTCTTCGTCTCTTCGAGCGATTTACACAAATTGTTTCAATTAAGTAGAGAATGTCAGTTCTCTCTAAGGCAGTAGTTCGATGGGGGAAAATATTGTCCATATTCATAGAGAAGACTTGCGAGCGTAAGAGAACTTGGGGATGAAATAC